AGGAAGGAAGAAAGAAAGAAAGAAAGAAAGAAAGAAAGAAAGAAAGAAAGAAAGAAAGAAAGAAAGAAAGAAAGAAAGAAAGAAAGAAAGAAAGAAAAAAGAAATTGAACTCAGGCCCTCGGGCTTGGCTACAAACACCTTTACCAGCTGAGACATCTCCCTCACACTGCGTCTATTTTTAAATTCTTTTCTCAGTAAGACAAAGAACTCATAAAAATGAACCCTGATTTCCCCAGTAATATATCTAACAACACGTTTTAGGGGATCCCCTCCCAACAGTCTGGAGCCTTCACTTTTGCTCTATAAATATGTCCTGCGTTTTACTCATATGAAAAAGAAAAGGATGTATTTATTACAGAATCTGTATTCATCATGTTTTATTAACTAAGGCCAATGAATGTAAGAAAGCTAGCTGAGGGGGAAGGGCAACAATTGCTACCTAGTGTTATTTCATACACTAGGCCTTAAGGGGAGTTCTGGTCATTTCCCAAGGATGGACACCATGGGATTTGCTTTGACTGTCATGTACTTTCTGCACATTTCTAAGCACAGGGACTGCTGCCACCCTGCCCACCCCCTATGTCCCACCTCCGCGGTGCCACCATTAGTGAAACAGACTTTGAGACCTGATAGAGACACATCCTCACTCTATCTTGGACAAATAACTGTGCCTCGGTCTTCTCATCTGTAACAAGAACGGTAGTGACTTCTTAGAGTGTTATAAGGATTAACAAAATTGGTGATTAGAAAATCTTAGTGCAGTGCATAATATGCACAACAGTAACTAAAATATAATAACGTGCGTTTATGAGTGTTCCGTCATTTCATGCAGATTAACAACCTTCATGCAGGAAGATGCCAGTTATCACCTTCATTGAGCTAAGGTCACAACAGCCACTAAGTGTTAAAGCTAGGCTGCCACATCGTATGCCAAAAGGGACAGCACGTGGCAGCCATCATGATTAGGTAAACCCCTGGCTGTGTTTAGCGTCAGTTGGATGGCTGGAAAGGGTGGCTTTCAGATTTTCTTTAGAAGGCATTCGGGGTGTTGAATTTGATTTGTGCTTAAATTTGACAGTGGTAGAAAATGCTGCAAAAGGAAGCCAACGGTATTGCGAACCTAGCCTTCCCAAACGCCGCCGTTACAACAACTCGCCCTTCCCTAAGTCTGTGGAAAGAGCTCGTGACCGCAGCCTTGATCAGCAGCCTGGAAGGACCCATGCTGCTTCATAAGCCCGGCTGCTCTTCCTGTGTATCATTTCCTGCTTTTTCTACTCCCTTGCTCAGCGTGGTTTCCGTAACACTTGGGGCTTTACTCCTCCTCTAAGGCTTCCTCCCGGCTGTGTGGCTGACCTTCATGCAGGCTTCACTCAAGCAGCATGATTTTTCTCTTTCTCTTCCTTATCTCCCTACTCGGGCAGCTGCTAAGATTTACAGCTTGCCTGCACTGAATTGTTTCTTTTCTTCTTCTCCTTCTTTTGAATTCCAAGAAATCTGTCCTTCAGTTTCTACCTGAGGCTGTCCTTAAATTTCTTTTTTTAATTTAAATTGAATTTATTTTTAACTAGTACAAAAAAAGCAAAATGGTACGTGACTATGGAGTAGTATGTGATCTTGTGGTACAAATACATAATGTCTGCAGTATACAGTAATTTAAACATAGATAGTGCCTCAAACATACATCATATCTTCTCCAAAGGTAGTTATCAACTGAAAAAAGTTCAGGGCCGTCATGGTGGCATTTCTATATAAACACATTTCATGCTTGGTCCTATCCATCGCGCCTTCTCTCTGTGGTACCCCTCTTCTCTCTGTCCAACCTCAATGCTCTTCTCAATACCTAATAGTCCCTCTTCAGTTTTCCAGCTCCATTTTCATAGTTCCTGATAAGAACAGATACTACACTTGAGCTTAGCCAAAAGGCCAAGAAGTGATGACAAAATTTTTAATGGCTGAATAACAACCCGTGGTGTATGTAGAGCATGTCCTTAAATTTCTTTATTAATGAGACTAAGAACTGAAAGGAGAGAACTCCATTACCCTAGTAACATGTGTGACTCTGACAAGATGCTCCCAAATTTCCAGTAATATTATTACTGCATCTGAGTGTGCAACGTGTGTATGGACAGGTGACAGGCATGGCAAAGGGCATTCTGGGGAGGCAGCATGGTCTGACTCTCCAGCTTTTTAGCTACAAGTTCATACACGTCAGATGAGGATACTGTACAGTTTGAAGTCTGACTGTCAACTGCAGTATATATTAGAATCACACAATGAGCTCTTTTATTCTTTTGTAAGAAATGCTCTGGGTCTCCTGATCTAACCAGACTGTGGTGCACCTTGGCATGAGTAAGTCTAAAGCCTCCCAAGTCTCTTAATATACAATCAATTTGAAAACCACTGAGTAAATTACCTGCAGGGTCCATCCAGAGAGAGCATCACACCTTTCTGTGTGCTCGTGTGACTGTCCTGACAGGGATGAGGCTATTTTAAAGACATGCATGTGCCCCTCCCTTTGGCTATCAGACTAATGACACAATGGATCCCCAAAAACACAAATTTCCCCAGGAATCTCATGCTGCAGAGGAGGGAAAGCTGGGCCCTGATGGCTGCCAGAGGAGGAGCTTGACTCCCAGAAAGATTTTGCCACTTGCTGGGCTGTTCTGCAGTAGAGGTTGGAGCTGAGACAATGGCGGATGGATGATAACTGGGACGGACCACACCCAAACCAGGACTGCTTAGTTATCTATGCATACTTCTTGCCCTCTATTTAAACCTAAACTTCATGTCAGGGGGATGGGCCATTGGACATCTTCATTTATTTTTCTCCCAATATATCAGTTTTGAATAGATCTCCTTTCTCTGTCTTTCACTATTATTCATCTTTTTAATTGGCCTATTGAAGATGGATGGCCAAGCCTAACCTGTCTGAGTTTCCAGGGCCCTGGTTCTGGTCCTACCAACCCTAGTAACCCTGTTACACACCAGAAACAGAACAAATGAAATACCTGCAGCAGAATCTTGTTGCCATCATAGTCCTGAGTCTGCCACCTGGTGCTGCTGATGGGCACACACGGATTGGGGAGAAGAGGCACCAGCTGGCCTATCTCTTGAACCTTGAACTGCAGCACAGAAGACTCTTTGGGGTCCACTGGCATTCCCAGGGGCAGCTGCTTCAGAGAGAGCTGCAGGCTGAAGCCCTCGGAGGCATAGAGAACAAAGAAACAGAAGTTGCTCTTTTGAACGGTGGCATCTCTCTGTAGGATCATCTCATACAGTCTGATGGCATCTTCGTAGTTATCAAAACTGCAATACAGAGTCACTCGGAGGATATCAGTGCCACAGTGCACCGGCCTCATGCCCCACACTGGCATCTGGTTGTGCAGGCTGTAGAATTCCTGATTGGCAGGGAGATAGGGACAAGGCCTCCCCTGTGCATGCTGGGTAGGGAAACCCTGCCAGGGTGAATGCTGTAGGAAGTCCAAGACTCGAAACAGCCGCTCCTGTCCCAAGCTTTCCTGAAGAAAGAGCAAAACAGACATCCCTGGGAAGCGGGCCCTCCGGGGATGGTACTTTTCATGGTAATTCACTGGTCTGGCCCGTTCAGACACCAGGAAGAGACGCACCTCCGGGCAGATGCAATCCAGGAGTTGGTCCAGAGCCTGCTGCAGAAGTGAACCGTTCCCAGTGTCAGCAAGAAGATGCACAGTCAAGGCTAGAGACTCCTGTGTCTCATCCATGGCAGGCCTAGGTGAAGATGATAAAGAAGGCCACCGGGCAGGGTCCACTCTTCAGCCTTCTAAGATGAGCCAAGGCCTCACACAGAGCCCTCTAGAAAAACTTCAGCCACTTCTGAACCAAGCTCTTAGCCAGATCACACACGCTCCCGGCTTCCTCCAATGCTCCAGCAGGGAATGTCACTCAAGTGTGGACTTTGCTACACACAACAGCAGTAGCTCCATGTCATCCGGTCTGGGCAGATGTAACTATGTGCTTGGCTTTTTCAGGCATTCCCTGGCGTTCCTGTTTGACCTAAAAACCTATAATGCTGAGAACCACGCCAGTGGGTGGTTCTTACATTCAACTCAGTAGAGGAAATGACCAGGCTTAGAGGAACAGGAGGAGGCTCTGTTGGACTGATAGCAATCTGGAGCTCTGTTACACTGAAGAGACATCCATTGGGTGGACCACAATGGGCTCTGACTTCCTACTTAAATATCCTGGTGTTTACAGGGGCCTGCCAGGCCACCCGAATAGAATGCCTTCTTTAATACCACTCCCAAGCTTGTCCGCATGCCAGAGCCCTCAGCCACCATCTCTTTTATTTCATTTTTTGACCATTTTCTCCTAGGTCACAAAGAAGAGATATTTTGTCTACGTAGTGTCGGCCTCATTGAAAACGGTTTGCCTGGCTGAACTAACAGTCTGGATGCGCTAAAACAACGTTAAGAAACTAAGTCGCCTTTGGTTCGTGCAAATTTGCAGACAGTGAGCCTTCCTATTTCAGTAATTACTGTGTCTTCCTATGGAGGATCTGTTGGTAAATTGTCCTAAAACTTTAGATAAATTGATTTAATCAGCCAACAAACCTACAAAGAAGAGAGTTTTTATCCCCCAGTTGCTGACAAGAAACTGAGGCAAAGGAAAAATCAGGGAAGTTGCCCAGACTCACACAGTGAAGTGGCTGAGGAAAGATTTGAAAGACTGGAAGGACCCACATTCCATGCTCCCTCTCTAGAGGTAGGAAGGCTAGCCACAGTTTGTTGTTGTGTTTGTTTGTTTGGTCTCTCAAGGTGAGGAAGAGATGCCAAGTCAACACCTAGTCAACATACTTCCCCATGGATACAGACTGTTAAATCTTAAAGAGAATACCACATAGTTGACACAATCACCTACTCTGTTCCCAAATCCTGTAATAGTCAGGCATAGAAGCAAAAACTCTAGGATTCAGCCGGGCGGTGGTGGCGCACGCCTTTAATCCCAGCACTCGGGAGGCAGAGCCAGGCGGATCTCTGTGAGTTCGAGGCCAGCCTGGGCTACCAAGTGAGTCCCAGGAAAGGCGCAAAGCTACACAGAGAAACCCTGTCTCGAAAAACCAAAAAAAAAAAAAAAAAAACTCTAGGATTCAGGAGGCTGCAACAGAGGTATTACTGTGGGTTCAAAGCCAGTTGGGCTGGGTAGAAGCCAGTCTAGGCATTATAGTTAACCCCCACCTCAACAACAACAACAACAAAAAATTGCTGTTATGAGAGTTGTTCTGCCACTGGGTGTGGATATGCACCACGTTCTAATGTGAGAATGTTTGTGTAACGCCACAGTGGATCAGGGTATGTTGTAACTTTCTAATTCAAAACCAATTTTAATGAAAGGGATAACTTCCTCTAACTTTACATCTTACATTCATGGGTTTCTTCAGTAGTGTGAAAGCTACGATCCTGTGCTTGGATCATGGGCTAGCCACGCTAATTCTAAAGAGAGACACTTTTGCCTGTCCGTAATTAAGAATGGAGCAGTGGAGGTACCCGTGGGAAAGGAGCAGCAAGGAGTCTCACGGCTCGGTCTACATATCTCTGGTTCCATTCATAGTTGTCTATACATTGCAAAATTCTCACAGATCTATGGAAGAAGAGACAGATTCTTTCCCCAACTTGGCCAAACTGTCATTTAATTCACTTTCCTTTTCTAATTTCTGTTTCCTAATTTTTTGGACTACAGGGAAGCTGAGGGGTTAGTTATGGACTTGACCACTTGGTAACAGTAGAATAACCAAATTTAAAGTCAAAAGTTCAATCCTCAGAAAGGAATCATCTCCATCGAGATCTGCCCATAATTTTAATCAGTTGAATTTTATAATACTAAGATTCTTGTATTAGAAAATTATAGAAATACAATTTGTAACTGACAAATTGCTTCTAAATTTCCATGTATAACAAAATAATCAGGTTCATTTTGCTTTAACTTTCTGGGAATTGTTAGAAGGTTTTAAAAGAATTACAGCTCTCAAACTTTTTTTTTTTAAAAAAAAAGCCACCTCTTAATTCATGTCACATGCTGACATTTGAAGGCAATAACTCTTTTTGCTCAGTATAAGGCCCTTCCCTCTCCCACAACCTTTCTCTTGCAGAGCCCGCTCTTCTGAGTCACTTTAGACCAAACCCTGGTTTTTGAAAGAGCTTTTGAAATTCTTAAAATAGCATAAATAAACTCTAAGTGTTTGAAGAAAAAAACCCTCCACTTGAGTCAAAAATATTAACTCATTAGCTCACAGCATTTTGTCTAACACAGACGTTAAAAGTCGTATGCAGAACAGGTTGTTTAGCCTTCCACCCAGTGTTCTCTTGGAGTTATCATTGTGTTTTCATGGAAAAGAGCTCATTAATCTGTTGTCAGGGAAATGCTAAGCAATTGCAGTCAGAAGCAGGGGAGGGGGTCAGCTAGCACTCTGACAGACTATCTTTGCAGTCCCTTCTCCTGGAGCAATGTGACATCCTGACCCACCTCCCCACAACCCCCACCCCACCCCTCCCACCCCCGTCACCTCCATTCAGGGTCACCCTCTACCATTCACCACAAATGGCAGCTTCTTCGCTCAGCTCCATGGTGAACTCTGTGTTTGAACAATGCTCCTGTGGACAACGTAGAGGAAAACATTCAGGGACATCATCAGCTTTGACTTCTTGATTCTGAGCTTTCTACCTTATTTTCCCTGAACTTGGAACCCCTGCCCAGGTTCCTGTCAGAGATCTGTGCCTGAACAGCAGTGAGCTGGTCCACTCTCTACATCAATGGTGGAAGTGTGGTGACAGGAAATAGCAAGAAATCAGCGACTTAGGAGAATTTGGTGGGATGCGAGAGACTTTCCGGATTTGTCCCTTCTGTAAGTCTCTTAAATAGAGTGTGATACCCTAAAGCCCTTAGATTCCCCTTCCCACTCTCAGGAGAACTTTAAGAACATTTCTTCCCATCTTTAATCTATCAGGTATGTTTTTATTTCTCAGACATTGAAAGACTGGCTCTTCCTCCAGAGCAGCGGGCACAGTCACCCAGGTCCCACTTTGGAGAAGGGCCTTAAGCCATTGGTGTCATGATCAAGGGCATTGCAAGTGGTCTGGGAGATCTGTGGGAGGAGCTTCGAGGAGCTGCAAGGTCTAGAAGAGGGAAGATGCTACTTAATATCTAAGTCTTGCTAAGTGAGAGAAGGAGACAGGCAGGTGGGGAGACTGGGTTTGGACTGAGGGGAAAGGAGCCTGAGGATTCTCAGAGCTGTGGCCATCTAGAAATGCACACATCTCATCATAGCTGGAAGGAAGTCAAGGGCCTTGTAAGGAGCTGTTTCGGCTTTATTTCTATCACAAACAGAACCATAGAAGGGGTGTCTTGGGAAGGAGGGATGTAGATACAGGATCTCCCTACATATCCCAAGGTGGCCCCAAATTTACAGTCCTGACTCAGCCTCCCAAGTGCGGGGATTACAGGTGTGTGCTGCCCACACCTGGCCAAAGGGTTGTCTTGAAAAAAAGAAGCAATGCTTTGAGGACCCATACACCCAAATGCCGTATGGGAACCCAGTGAGTAGGCCTTTGAGCTGGTGGAGTATCATCCAATCAGGCTTCACACAGTGGTGTCCATGGGTGTCTGGGTGAGGCTGTCAGTGCCAGATAAGGACTAATGCAGAAAAGGAGCCATCAGGAATAAGGATAAGGTGTGTGGCATGAACACACTGAGAGGATGTCTATTGGGCTCAGAGTAGAGATGTCCAATACCACCTCAGAGCGGAGCAACAAACCAGAGATTAAGTCCTGAATAAACACCGATCATCATGGGACTGAATATGACCACCTATAGAGAGAATATTTGATAGGTTTGGGACAGAGAGGAAGATGGGCCATGAGCATACTCCATTTAAGGGACAGGAGACATTTATGCGGCACCTAGGGACAAATAGTGAGTGGGATATGCTATCCTAACCGTGTGGTGCTTGGGTCTTTGGCCAGAAGACTCCAGGACATGGCTTTGGCTGCAGACATTGTCACTTAGACACTGTCACATTTATGAGTCATTCTTCCTCCTCAATTAAGAAAACTGAAAAGCAGCAGCTGTCTCCCAGCAGACTTCAGACCCATGTAAATCTCTATTCCTTTGTGCCTAGAAGAACTTAGCTCTGCACCTTTGATTCTGTGTTGGCAGTCTGGAGGAAGTGCCCTCCCCGACACACACACACACAACATCTGAAGGAAAGGGGGTGGGGAGAGGCCACATCCCTCACCCAGTTACCTCCTGCTAACAGCCTCTAATTCTGTACCCGTGAAGTGGGTATGGCAAAGGTCTGTCATGGATACAGGACTCTTGGCATCTTCTAGAAGGTGAGACTCCCTGGGGTGGGGGGGGGGGGGGGGGGGGGGGGGGGGGAGAGATGTTATTGTCACCACACAGCTGGCTGTTGGTAGAGCCTAGCTGGATTTCTGGGTTTCAGGATGCTTCTCTACCGTATCTGAGGGAAACTGTACACGGCAGCTGTGGCTACTCAGGTAAGTCTTGGGACTTCAAGACACATTAAAAGAGGGAAAGAAGATATAGGAATGGGGATTATGTTTAGACTTGGTCATGTCCAGTCTCTGGACCCCTCTAGAGTGTGCTTCCCTAGCATGCACACACACACACACACACAGACACACACACAGAAACACACACACACACACACACACACACACACACACACACACACACACACGAGTGCCTGTGCATCTCAGCTCCTGGCTTCTTGGGAACCCTGGCAGAAACAGCAGTATAAAGACAATGGAGACCGAGCATGCCCAACCCTTCAGGGCTGTACTATTAAAGAAGAATTGTAAATAGCCACCGTAAGCACCTTCTCCCAGCTCTGGCCTCTCTACTGAAAGCCTCCTCCCAGTTCTCCAAGGAATATTTCCTGCTCAGCCCCCAAACAATGCTATCGGGTCCCTAGTAAACTGCCATCTGTTTCCCACTTTCCTGGAGCATGCGGGAGCAGATCCCTGGTGTTCGCGGGTGCAAACAAAGACAATGTGTTTCCTCCTGGCCCTTTGCTGGGCTCTGCCCCTAGACTTCACTTCCCGTGTCCCAGCCAGTCCTAGTTCCCAGCTATAAACCAGTGAGCCAGAGGCCTGGCCCCTCCCACCTGCCT